TATATATATTCTTTTTCATATTCTTTTCCATTATGGTTTGTCACAGATATTAAATACTGTTCACTGTGCTATACAGTAGGACTTTGTTGTTTATCCATCCTGTATATAATAGTTTGCCTCTGATAATCCCAAACTCACATTCATTTCCTCCCTTTAACCCCTCCCCCTTGGCAAACACAAGTCTGTTCTCTATATCTGTGAGTCCGTTTTTGTTTCATAGATATGTTTAGATTCCAAGTATAAGTGGTACCATATGGTATTTGTCTTTCTCTTTCTGACTTACTTTGCTCAGTATGATAATCTCTAGGTCCATCCATGTTGCTGCAAATGGCATTATTTCATTCTTCTTTGATGGCTGAGTAATATTCCATTGTGTGTGTGTGTGTGTGTGTGTATATATATATATATATATATATATATATATATATATACACACTACATCTTCTTTATCCATTCATTTGACAATGGACATTTAGGTTGCTTCCATGTCTTGGCTATTGTAAATAGTACTGCTATGAACATAGGGATGCATTTATATTTTTGAATTTGCTGGATCATACAGCAACTCTATTTTTATTTTTTTGAGGAACTTTCATACAACCCTAGTGGTTGTACCAATTTAAATTCCCACTAATAGTGTAAGAGGAGTCCTTTTTCTCCACACCCTTTCCAGCATTTGTTATTTGTAGACTTTTTAATGATGGCCATTCTTACTGGTGTGAGGTGACACCTCATTGTAGTTTTGATTTTCATTTCTCTAATAATTAGCGATGATGAGCATCTTTTCATGTGCCTATTGGCCATCTGTATGTCTTCTTTGGAGAAAGGAGAAATGTCTATTTAGGTCTTCTGCCCGTTTTTTTGATTGGGTCGCTTTGTTTTTTTGTTGTTGAGTTGTATGAGCTGTATGTATATTTTGGAAATTAAGCCCTTGTCAGTAGCATAAGATACTATTTTAAAAGCCGGTCTATCTATGTTTTACAGTGACTTACTTTTATGTCACAACAATTGTATTTAATGGCAGATGGTCTCTACCCCAAGGCCCTGACCTGAGGATTCCTTGGGAATTTTGCCACACAGATTTCCTGTTTGGTCTCAGAGTATCTCTGAAAAGGTATTTCCCTGGGCTATGCCAGTCAAGTCTCCTAGCTCTGTTCCTCTTTAAGTCCATGTGTCTGGGTTTTTGCTTGGGTAGAAGTTTAGGACATAATATGCTATTCCAATAAAAGCCAGAAAATGGCACAGAGCACATGTTACCACGTGCTGCCTAAGGACATGGCCTTTAGAATGTGAATGGCATGGATGGAGAAAATGGGATTTCCATGGAAAAGTCATTTAAATTCTCCAAGGCTTAATTTCCCTGTCTATAAGGTAAAGGTACTAATTCTGTAGCAGGATTTTACTGGCACTCTAGAAATAGTGACCAAGATCCAAAGTGGTGGAAAAGGGGGCATGTAGTACCTTAAGGATGCTTCCAGTCCACCATACAGAGGCAAATTAGAGATTTGCCAAAGAAATTCCTGCCATAGGTGCCATAGGTGCAAGTTCGAAATATTTCGAACTTGTATTTGCAGAGCCACTTTGTCTACTTCCAAAGACTAGATTAGACTGAGATGAAAGAGTGACCGAGTCACAGAAGAGAACCAGTGGGAAGGAACTGCAGTGGTTGGGATGAAAGTACACTGTGGGAGGGAGGGGAGGGTGCTAAAAGGTGGTGCTGGCACAAAGGAGACTTGCATTCTATTGCTCAAACACAGAGCAATGCTCATCTATTTCTCATCCTCCTTTGTCTATCTAGGCAGAGAACTGGAGAGGAATGGCAAGGCGAGACGGGGCAGTAACTTCCTTCCCAACAAGAAGCTGAGGCCAGTACCACCAATGACGAGAGCCAGAGTCTCAGTGGAAGGGCTTGGGCCCCAGCCAGGCAGGGGATAGTGCAATGGGCTTCTAAAGAATTCACACATATGACCCTCCAAATGGCCCCATCACCTCTCATAGAAAATACAACAAGAACTGGTCAGTAATAGCCAGAAAAACAGCTTCAACCACCAGGGAGGGGGCCATAACCACTGCCCATGGGTTGAGAGGCATGGATCATCTTCCTTCTTCCTCTTCCCTGCCCTCCAGAAGAGCTGAACCTTGCAGAGGGCAGAGGAAGAGACCTCTTAGAGCCAGCTCATGCACCTCCTTCACCATGGGGATAAGGGAAGAAATGAGATGAAGCAGAGACGGAAGCTGAATTTTTAAATTAGGCTAGACTTTCAAGAACTGGAAATGACTGGGGAAAACAAACTGGGGAACCAACCTAAGATTTAATTAAAGGATGAGAGAGGGAAATAAGTGAAAGCCTTGTTTTGATAAAAATAGATTGCAGGGCTTCCCTGGTGGCGCAGTGGTTAAGAATCCGCCTGCCGATGCATGGGACACGGGTTTGAGCCCTGGTCCGGGAAGATCCCACATGCCGCGGAGCAACTAAGCCCGTGCGCCACAACTACTGAGCCTGCGCTCTAGAGGGTGCGAGCCACAACTACTGAGCCCGTGTGCTGCAACTACTGAAGCCCACGAGCCTAGGGCCCGTGCTTCGCAACAAAGAGAAGCCACCGTAGTGAGAAGCCCGTGCACCGCAACGAAGAGTAGCCCCCGTTCACCGCAACTAGGGAAAGCCCACACGCAGCAACGAAGACCAAACGCAGCCAAAAATAAATAAATAAATTTATTAAAAAAAAATAGATTGCACTCAGACTTACATCCCACTGAGATGAGAGCCTCAAACAACTCATTACACCTATAAGATTCCCATAATCCCTGGTAAAGAAGAGAACTAATCTGAATGTGTATAAAAGATGCTTTAAGGTGTGTGTGTGTCTGTGTGCGCGTGCACGCTCTCTCTATAAATATATATGTATATACATACACACACACACACCCAGTGTGTTTTTATATATAAAATAAATATGTAACATAAAAGTCTTTTACTTGCAAATTTTCAATTTATATAACCTCAGAGATAAATCCTAAATTCTGTTTCAAAGCACATATGCACCATTTCTCCCCATCACAACTGAAGTAAAGCCCATCATTTGAGTAAAACCATGTTGGTTTTAAAAAACAAATGGATTTATAGGTAGTCTCCCAGAATGTTAAATTTCTGCAAATTGAGTATCTATAAAAGGAACTATGATTTCTACAGCAAAGCCAGGTTTATTCAAACAGGCATTATGAATAACTGAAGTAGTATCCAATGCGTCACCACACATGACCCATTTTCAATGACCTAAAGGTCAGTATGCTATAACTAAAACTGTATAAAATACAAATCCATCTTTGATTCAGAAGGCCCTTCTGGATATTACAAAACCTCAGGGATTCTTTTGAATGTATTGCTCTACAGCGCTGAGCTTTAGTTTCCTCCTCTGTAAAACAGTGACTGCAGTCATCCCTTCTGAGAGTTTACGACATGCCACCAGACTCTAAGTTGATGAATGAAGTGATGTCATTTCTGACTTCTGACTCTAGTATTGCTGCATTGCTCAGTTCACAGAAGAAACTTAGCAAATATGTGCCGAGATCAATGGATAGGCTACTTATGTTCACTGTTCTTTAGAGTCTTCTAACTGTTAGAAGTTGGTTCAGATCCTTTATGGACCACGTACTTAGAGGCACATTGATTAACAAACGGTAGCTAACTCCTGTTCTCTGGTTATGACAAATAGCCAAAACTCATGAACAGCAATCACGCCCTATTCCTGACTTCCACATATGCTTTTCGTGGTAAAGGGTACCACCATCTAACCAGTTATACTGTACCATCCGGGACCCTAAGGGCCATTCCCAATACTTTTCAATCTATCAACCCTTATATACAACTTATCGTACAGTATTCAATAAATGGTAGCTGTTATTCTTACTTCCATTTTATAGATGAGGAAACTGGTATGGAGGATTGTTAGATCATTGGTCCTTGAGAATCCTAGTAAAGAAGATAAAAATATTGAATGAAACTTAACTGAAGCTAGAGGATCAAGGAAGGCTTCCCTGAGTCCGTAATTTTACAATGAGATGGGAAGGACAAATGGACATTAACTAGTTGATGGTGCTGTTGGAAATGTGGTCCAGGTAGAGGGAAGCACGTCTCAGAATGCATGATCTAAAACAGAACGCTTGGTGTGTCCTAGGAACTTGGCTTTTAATGATCCTTTCTATGGGCTAGGTACTATATTGGTTACTTTACTTATATAATATTACTTAATTCTCAGAAAAATAGTAGATGCTATTACTTGCTAATTTTTAATTAGGAAATTAATGTTTGGAGGGGTATAATAGTATCTATTTTCCAGAACTGTTGTAAGTATTACATAAAATAATGGACATGAAATGTACTTTTTCAACTGCAAAACAGGATGTCCTCTTCCTTATTATAGTATCATTACTATCATTAAAAAT